CAGGAAGGAATATTTTATTGCCACTGTTCTTATAAATGGCATCTTTTGCTAAGAGTTAGTATTTACTGATTGTTGAGGGAAAATACACTGGTGGGGGCTCATGAAATACAGTTTTAGAAGTGCAGACCCACAAGGTTACCCCTGGAATATAAGGTAGCATGCACAGTTTGAGGGACCCAACCTGTTGGTGTAAGTATGAGTTGGGGTATAACCTAAAGAAGGTGCTCCAAAAGATTTGACTCAGGGGAGAGAGTCTGGTTGAGTGTTAGGGAAGAATAAAAAGGATCGCTGCTCATCAGTGAGATATGTTATAGTAGAACCAGTCTGTCTGCTCCTGGCTACATTCACCTCCTGAGGATCTCGAGAAGGTGGGTGGTGAGGGTAACCCACTGAAGATCAGTAAGGGGAAAATAATAGAAACAAGAGGGCAAAGGGGCAAAGGATTCCAGAATGGGGGAAAAGTGCCTTGTTAAATTGATTAACTAAAAGATTTAGACAGAAAATTTAGAAAGTGAGGCCAAAACAGGGTAAGAGATTGGGACGAGAAGGGACAGAAGTCAAGGTGAGGAGCAGTAGGGCTGTGGGACAGAAGGAATGACAGATCATGATCAGAGAAGGAAATTTTAAGAGCTTAGGACATCTGTGGTTTAACTGTTATGGTTAAAGGTATGAATGTCCCTCTGGGTGTCTGGTATAGGAAGTCATGGTAATTCAGGAGGCTAATGAACTTGGAGATGAGAATGTTTAAAGGGCAGATCCATCGCACAGCGGATAGAATGCTGGGCCTGGAGTGAGGAAGACCTGAGTTTAAATCCAACATCGAATGCTTACTAGCTGTGTGGCCCTGAGCAAGCCATTTAACCTTTGTCTCAGTTTCCTCATCTGCAAAATGAGCATAATAATAGCACCTGCCCCAAAGCATTGTTGTGAGGATCAGTAATAACTGTCAAGTGCTTAGCACAGTGCCTGGCACATAGTATTTTGTTGCTGTTGTCTACAAATGCTAACTTTTGTTGTTTCAGTCACGTCTGACTCCTCATGATCCCATTTGAGTTTTTTTTTGGCAGTGTTACTAGAGTGGTTTATTTGCTTCTCCAGCTCATTTTATAGATGAGGAAACTGAGGCAGACCAGGTGAAGTGACTTGCCCAGGGTCACACAGCTAGTAAATATCTGAGGCCATATTTGAACTCAGGAAGATGAATCTTTCTGATTCTAAGTACAGTGCTCTATGCACTATGGCGCCACCTCACTGCCCATAAATGTTAGCTGTTGTTATTAGGAGATGCACATAGATTTAGTTTCTCTTCCAGTTGTTTAATGGTATGAACTTTAATAGTCACGTCTCACTTGCACTTTGACTTTATCGTGGAATATAGTGTAAGATGTTGGTCTAAGCCTACTTTATGACAGACTGCTTTCTGATTTTCCCACCAGTTCTTATTAGTAATCTTATTTTCAGTATCTTACAACCACTATCTTATCATAAGTAATTTGTGATTTTATGTTTATCGAACACTGGGCTATTGAGTTCCATCTTTTCTCTTTCTCCCCTGGTTAGCCTGTTCCATTGATCTACTTTTCACTTTTTGACCAGTCCCCAAATAGTTATGATTGTAAAGTACTTTGCAAACCTCAAAGCTTTTATATCTGTGTTAGCTAGGATTACTACTGGAAGGTCAGACTACACTTGTGGCATCAATGATTACCATCTACATTCTACTATTGCTGTGCTCTTAACAATCAACTGGTCCATTTGGTCAAAAGGGGAATTCCTCTCTGGGATTCCCTGACTCCCTTAGGATGAGTTGGGGACCAATCATCAGAAGTTCGGTCAGTTGACTGGATATTTTCCTTATAAGAA